ATACCACCACTCCCACCGTTTCTTCACTTATTCAGTAAAGCGAAGAGCAAGGCGCAAGCCCCTTAGCAAGTTCTAGCCGATTTGTCCGCTTCAGACGGGCATCTCGCAAATGCTAAAAATCCAAACCCCGGAGCCCGCGACCAGGTCGCGTGGATGGGGTGCGGAAACACTTCTCTCTTACCTCGTTGGCAGAGGTAAGAGAGCTTTGGGCAGTCGCAGCCGAACAGGCTCCGTCGCCTCAAATTCAGACGAGCTCGACCGCGACCCGGGCTCCCCAAAAAAGGCAGGTCGCAAAAAAAAACACCGCTCGGCATCGTCGGTCATTGTTCCGATGTTGTAAGCGCCCGAGTATGTACTTAAAATACTTCTCTCTTACCTCGTTGGCAGAGGTAAGAGAGCCTCGTGGGCGTCGCTGGTCTCACTGCCTTTTAGCATTTCCCCATCGCAGAGCTTCTGGAACGTCTGCTCGGGCGGATGGCGGGAGGGACGGGGAGGGCGTTGACGACAACGCGGTCTGGCGGGTTTCAACCGATGCGTGTCACGAAGCGCCCTCACACCCGCCCCCGACCTTCTAGCTTTGTCCTTGCGGTGCAAGTACGGACGGCGAACGAAGGGGAGAGAGGAGGGCGGAGGGAACCGGACGCCATAGGCGAGAAGCGTCCGAGTATGTACTCGAAAACCTTCTCTCTTACCTCGTTGGCAGAGGTAAGAGAGCCTTGGGCAGTCGCACCCGAACAGGGTTCCGTCGCCTTAAATTCAGAGGGACGCAAGCTCGTGGGCGTCGCTGGTCTCACTGCCTTTCAGCATTTCCCCATCGCAGAGCTTCTGGAACGTCTGCTCGGGCGGATGGCGGGAGGGACGGGGAGGGCGTTGACGACAACGCGGTCTGGCCATATACGCTGGAGCCTGGGCGGTACCGGCGGCGGGTTTCGACCGATGCGTGTCACGAAGCGCCCTCACACCCGCCCCGACCTTCTCGCTTTGTCCTTGCGGTGCAAGTACGGACGGCGAACGAAGGGGAGAGAGGAGGGCGGAGGGAACCGGACGCCATAGGCGACAAGCGTCCGAGTATGTACTCGAAAACCTTCTCTCTTACCTCGTTGGCAGAGGTAAGAGAGCTTTGGGCAGTCGCAGCCGAACAGGCTCCGTCGCCTCAAATTCAGACGAGCTCGACCGCGACCCGGGCTCCCCAAAAAAGGCAGGTCGCAAAAAAAACACCGCTCGGCATCGTCGGTCATTGTTCCGATGTTGTAAGCGCCCGAGTATGTACTTAAAATACTTCTCTCTTACCTCGTTGGCAGAGGTAAGAGAGCTTTGGGCAGTCGCAGCCGAACAGGCTCCGTCGCCTCAAATTCAGACGAGCTCGACCGCGACCCGGGCTCCCCAAAAAAGGCAGGTCGCAAAAAAAACACCGCTCGGCATCGTCGGTCATTGTTCCGATGTTGTAAGCGCCCGAGTATGTACTTAAAATACTTCTCTCTTACCTCGTTGGCAGAGGTAAGAGAGCTTTGGGCAGTCGCAGCCGAACAGGCTCCGTCGCCTCAAATTCAGACGAGCTCGACCGCGACCCGGGCTCCCCAAAAAAGGCAGGTCGCAAAAAAAACACCGCTCGGCATCGTCGGTCATTGTTCCGATGTTGTAAGCGCCCGAGTATGTACTTAAAATACTTCTCTCTTACCTCGTTGGCAGAGGTAAGAGAGCTTTGGGCAGTCGCAGCCGAACAGGCTCCGTCGCCTCAAATTCAGACGAGCTCGACCGCGACCCGGGCTCCCCAAAAAAGGCAGGTCGCAAAAAAAAACACCGCTCGGCATCGTCGGTCATTGTTCCGATGTTGTAAGCGCCCGAGTATGTACTTAAAATACTTCTCTCTTACCTCGTTGGCAGAGGTAAGAGAGCTTTGGGCAGTCGCAGCCGAACAGGCTCCGTCGCCTCAAATTCAGACGAGCTCGACCGCGACCCGGGCTCCCCAAAAAAGGCAGGTCGCAAAAAAAACACCGCTCGGCATCGTCGGTCATTGTTCCGATGTTGTAAGCGCCCGAGTATGTACTTAAAATACTTCTCTCTTACTTCGTTGGCAGAGGTAAGAGAGCCTCGTGGGCGTCGCTGGTCTCACTGCCTTTTAGCATTTCCCCATCGCAGAGCTTCTGGAACGTCTGCTCGGGCGGATGGCGGGAGGGACGGGGAGGGCGTTGACGACAACGCGGTCTGGCGGGTTTCAACCGATGCGTGTCACGAAGCGCCCTCACACCCGCCCCCGACCTTCTCGCTTTGTCCTTGCGGTGCAAGTACGGACGGCGAACGAAGGGGAGAGAGGAGGGCGGAGGGAACCGGACGCCATAGGCGAGAAGCGTCCGAGTATGTACTCGAAAACCTTCTCTCTTACCTCGTTGGCAGAGGTAAGAGAGCCTTGGGCAGTCGCAGCTTTTAGGATGTGCTACCCAAGGGACTTGGTCTCTTTTTTGCGCCTCTGCCACCGGTCCGCCGGTGGTGGAGGCTTTTTTTTTTTCCTTTGAAGTTTCTCTCTCTGTTTTAACTAATCGCCTCTGGCACCGGTCCGCCGGTGTCGGGGGCTTTTTGCGCCTCTGCGACCGGTCAGCCGGTGGTGGAGGCTTTTTTATTTAATATTTTTTGGAACTTGTTTTTCTCTCATATCTAATCGCCTCTGGCACCCGTCCGCCGGTGTCAGGGGCTTTTTTTCTTTCTTCTTCTTTCTTTGTGATCGTAACCCTAGACCCCCAAAGACTTCCCCTATCATTAAACCCTAACCCTAACTCTAGGTTAGCCCTAACCCTTACACCTAGCCCTAACCGTAACCCTAACCCTAGCCCTAACCTTAACGCTAGCCCTAACCCTAACCCTAACCCAATACCATGTCTTACACCATATCCTCACTCGTGACCCAACCCTAACCCTAGCCCCAGACCTAACCCTAACAATAACCCTAACCCTAACCTCAACCCTAGCCCATAACCCAATAACCCTAGCCCGAACCCTGTAACCCTAGCCTTAACCCTAACCCTGGACTGGCTGCACGGAATATCTGGACCCAGGTGGTCGAAAGACTTAGCGCAGAGCCCACGGAAAACGCCCCTCGACTGCCAAATATGCGTGTGACAATGCCATTTTTCAGTGTCGAGGGGCCGAGCGCGCAGGTCGGACGGCCGTTCCCCTCGACCAGCTGGGCACACGGTCGGTGCAGGCCGTCGAGACAGCCGGCCGTCTTCCTCGACCAGCTCGGCACACGGTCGGTGCAGCCAGGTCGAGCGGCCAAGAGCGCAGGTAGTCCGGTCGTCCCCCTCGACCAGCTGGGCACACGTTAGGTGCAGGCCGTCGAGAGAGCCGGCCGTCTCCCTCGACCAGCTCGGCACACGGTCGGTGCAGGTCGTCGAGACAGCCGTCCGTCTCCCTCGACCAGCTCGGCACACGGTCGGTGCAGCCAGGTCGAGGGGCCAAGAGCGCAGGTAGTCCGGTCGTCCCCCTCGACCAGCTGGGCACACGGTCGGTGCAGCCAAGTCGAGGGGCCAAGAGCGCAGGTAGTCCGGACGTCCCCCTCGACCACCTGGGCACACGTTCGGTGCAGGCCGTCGAGACAGCAGGCGGTCTCCCTCGACCAGCTCGGCACACGGTCGGTGCAGCCAGGTCGAGGGGCCAAGAGCGCAGGTAGTCCGGTCGTCCTCCTCGACCACCTGGGCACACGGTCGGTGCAGGCCGTCGAGAGAGCCGGCCGTCTCCCTCGACCAGCTCGGCACACGGTCGGTGCAGGTCGTCGAGACAGCCGTCCGTCTTCCTCGACCAGCTGGGCACACGGTCGGTGCAGCCAGGTCGAGCGGCCAAGAGCGCAGGTAGTGCGGTCGTCCCCCTCGACCAGCTGGGCACACGGTCGGTGCAGCCTGGTCGAGACAGCCGGCCGTCTCCGTCGACCAGCTCGGCACACGGTCGGTGCAGGCCGTCGAGACAGCCGTCCGTCTCCCTCGACCAGCTCGGCACACGGTCGGTGCAGCCAGGTCGAGCGGCCAAGAGCGCAGGTAGTCCGGTCGTCCCCCTCGACCAGCTGGGCACACGGTCGGTACAGCCAGGTCGAGGGGCCAAGAGCGCAGTAAGTCAGGTCGTCCCCCTCGACCAGCTGGGCACACGGTCGGTGCAGCCTGGTCGAGACAGCCGGCCGTCTCCCTCGACCAGCTCGGCACACGGTCGGTGCAGGCCGTCGAGACAGCCGTCCGACTCCCTCGACCAGTTCGGCACACGGTCGGTGCAGCCAGGTCGAGCGGCCAAGAGCGCAGGTAGTCCGGTCGTCCCCCTCGACCAGCTGGGCACACGTTAGGTGCAGGCCGTCGAGACAGCCGGCCGTCTCCCTCGACCAGCTGGGCACACGGTCGGTGCAGGCAGGTCGAGGGGCCAAGAGCGCAGGTAGTCCGGTCGTCCCCCTCGACCAGCTGGGCACACGTTAGGTGCAGGCCGTCGAGACAGACGGCCGTCTCCCTCGACCAGCTCAGCACACGGTCGGTGCAGCCAGGTCGAGGGGCCAAGAGCGCAGGTAGTCCGGTCATCCCCCTCGACCAGCTGGGGACACGGTCGGTGCAGCCAGGTCGAGCGGCCAAGAGCGCAGGTAGTGCGGTCGTCCCCCTCGACCAGCTGGGCACACGGTCGGTGCAGCCTGGTCGAGAGAGCCGGCCGTCTCCGTCGACCAGCTCGGCACACGGTCGGTGCAGGCCGTCGAGACAGCCGTCCGTCTCCCTCGACCAGCTCGGCACACGGTCGGTGCAGCCAGGTCGAGGGGCCAAGAGCGCAGGTAGTCCGGTCGTCCCCCTCGACCAGCTGGGCACACGGTCGGTGCAGCCAGGTCGAGGGGCCAAGAGCGCAGTAAGTCAGGTCGTCCCCCTCGACCAGCTGGGCACACGGTCGGTGCAGCCTGGTCGAGGGGCAAAGAGCGCAGGTAGTCCGGTCGTCCTCCTCGACCACCTGGGCACACGTTCGGTGCAGGCCGTCGAGACAGCCGGCCGTCTCCCTCGACCAGCTGGGCACACGGTCGGTGCAGCCAGGTCGAGGGGCCAAGAGCGCAGGTAGTCCGGTCGTCCCCCTCGACCACCTGGGCACACGGTCGGTGCAGGCCGTCGAGAGAGCCGGCCGTCTCCCTCGACCAGCTCGGCACACGGTCGGTGCAGGCCGTCGAGACAGCCGGCCGTCTTCCTCGACCAGCTCGGCACACGCTCCGTGCAGTCATGTCGAGGGACCAAGAGCGCAGTAAGTCCGGTCGTCCCCCTCGACCAGCTGGGCACACTGTCGGTGCAGCCTGGTCGAGACAGCCGGCCGTCTCCCTCGACCAGCTCGGAACACGGTCGGTGCAGGCCGTCGAGACAGCCGTCCGACTCCCTCGACCAGTTCGGCACACGGTCGGTGCAGCCAGGTCGAGGGGGCCAAGATCGCAGTAAGTCCGGTCGTCCCCCTCGACCAGCTGGGCACACGGTCGGTGCAGCCAGGTCGAGGAGCCAAGAGCGCAGGTAGTCCGGTCGTCCCCCTCGACCAGCTGGGCACACGGTCGGTGCAGCCAGGTCGAGCGGCCAAGAGCGCAGGTAGTGCGGTCGTCCCCCTCGACCACCTGGGCACACGGTCGCTGCAGCCTGGTCGAGACAGCCGGCCGTCTCCGTCGACCAGCTCGGCACACGGTCGGTGCAGGCCGTCGAGACAGCCGTCCGTCTCCCTCGACCAGCTCGGCAAACGGTCGGTGCAGCCAGGTCGAGGGGCCAAGAGCGCAGTAAGTCAGGTCGTCCCCCTCGACCAGCTGGGCACACGGTCGGTGCAGCCTGGTCGAGACAGCCGGCCGTCTCCCTCGACCAGCTCGGCACACGGTCGGTGCAGGCCGTCGAGACAGCCGTCCGACTCCCTCGACCAGTTCGGCACACGGTCGGTGCAGCCAGGTCGAGCGGCCAAGAGCGCAGGTAGTCCGGTCGTCCCCCTCGACCAGCTGGGCACACGTTAGGTGCAGGCCGTCGAGACAGCCGGCCGTCTCCCTCGACCAGCTGGGCACACGGTCGGTGCAGGCAGGTCGAGGGGCCAAGAGCGCAGGTAGTCCGGTCGTCCCCCTCGACCAGCTGGGCACACGTTAGGTGCAGGCCGTCGAGACAGACGGCCGTCTCCCTCGACCAGCTCAGCACACGGTCGGTGCAGCCAGGTCGAGGGGCCAAGAGCGCAGGTAGTCCGGTGATCCCCCTCGACCAGCTGGGGACACGGTCGGTGCAGCCAGGTCGAGCGGCCAAGAGCGCAGGTAGTGCGGTCGTCCCCCTCGACCAGCTGGGCACACGGTCGGTGCAGCCTGGTCGAGAGAGCCGGCCGTCTCCGTCGACCAGCTCGGCACACGGTCGGTGCAGGCCGTCGAGACAGCCGTCCGTCTCCCTCGACCAGCTCGGCACACGGTCGGTGCAGCCAGGTCGAGGGGCCAAGAGCGCAGGTAGTCCGGTCGTCCCCCTCGACCAGCTGGGCACACGGTCGGTGCAGCCAGGTCGAGCGGCCAAGAGCGCAGGTAGTGCGGTCGTCCCCCTCGACCACCTGGGCACACGGTCGCTGCAGCCTGGTCGAGAGAACCGACCGTCTCCGTCGACCAGCTCGGCACACGGTCGGTGCAGGCCGTCGAGACAGCCGTCCGTCTCCCTCGACCAGCTCGGCACACGGTCGGTGCAGCCAGGTCGAGGGGCCAAGAGCGCAGGTAGTCCGGTCGTCCCTCTCGACCAGCTGGGCACACGGTCGGTGCAGCCAGGTCGAGGGGCCAAGAGCGCAGTAAGTCAGGTCGTCCCCCTCGACCAGCTGGGCACACGGTCGGTGCAGCCTGGTCGAGACAGCCGGCCGTCTCCCTCGACCAGCTCGGCACACGGTCGGTGCAGGCCGTCGAGACAGCCGTCCGACTCCCTCGACCAGTTCGGAACACGGTCGGTGCAGCCAGGTCGAGCGGCCAAGAGCGCAGGTAGTCCGGTCGTCCCCCTCGACCAGCTGGGCACACGTTAGGTGCAGGCCGTCGAGACAGCCGGCCGTCTCCCTCGACCAGCTGGGCACACGGTCGGTGCAGGCAGGTCGAGGGGCCAAGAGCGCAGGTAGTCCGGTCGTCCCCCTCGACCAGCTGGGCAGACGTTAGGTGCAGGCTGTCGAGACAGACGGCCGTCTCCCTCGACCAGCTCGGCACACGGTCGGTGCAGCCAGGTCGAGGGGCCAAGAGCGCAGGTAGTCCGGTCATCCCCCTCGACCAGCTGGGCACACGGTCGGTGCAGCCAGGTCGAGCGGCCAAGAGCTCAGGTAGTGCGGTCGTCCCCCTCGACCAGCTGGGCACACGGTCGGTGCAGCCTGGTCGAGAGAGCCGGCCGTCTCCGTCGACCAGCTCGGCACACGGTCGGTGCAGGCCGTCGAGACAGCCGTCCGTCTCCCTCGACCAGCTCGGCACACGGTCGGTGCAGCCAGGTCGAGGGGCCAAGAGCACAGGTAGTCCGGTCGTCCCCCTCGACCAGCTGGGCACAC